CACTTAAAAGAGAGCTATTATAATGCATCTACAACTCACAGTTGTGGTGGTGGTAATCTCCTCCGTTACAACCTTCAGCGTGTCGACCACTGAGATGTAGCCCAGACGCCTTGCAATAGCTAAGGCAGTGTTGCCATTCTGAAGCGCAAAAGAGAAGGAGAGGGAGAGAGGGAGAGAGAGAAATGAGAGGGAGGATTGTGATGCGAACCAATGAGATCACTCTCAACACTGCATGAGCCAGCATTTCCATCCAAAACAAGGCACAGCCTAGGAAAATCACTGKTTTTTTTTCTACCATTACATCTGACTCTGTCTTTGTAACTTCTTTAAGACTATAGTCCTGATTACCATGGCAACACAACACACATCTGCCTGCTATTCAAAAAGGAAAAAAAAAATAAAAAAGCACACTGTATGCTTTAACCCTGAAGTAGTCAAATTGYAGTGTGCAGAATGTGTCTTGCCTGCAGAAGGTGATGATTTGTTTTGTATAAACAGCACTATATAAGGGGTATTCTTCTTAAAAAGAAAGTATTTTAAAATCTTACAGCTTCACTTTCAGTGGTAATTGTTTAAATCTTTAGCAGATACAATGTTCCTTTGGGGAAACACAAAGTTACAATCATAGTCACCAGATACACTTGTATTCATCCTTATAAGCAACTATTTACCTAAGAAAAGTACAAAAAGCTAATACTAYAGCAAGCACTAAAGAAACCGACATAAGTCGTATGGTTTTGAGATTATTTTCCACTTTGTTGTTCAAATGCACATGACAAATGCACAACTCATCAACTGGACATTAAAAGGATAATTTATTAATTATTTAGGACTATTTTTTCTCCTTCATTATCTGAAGCATTAAAATAGTCTGAAACAGCTATTTGCACACTTAATTTTACAAACTTAGCTGTAAATGAATAGTGATTTACATTGCCATCTGTCTCACAGCATTTGCAATTCTGCTTGAATTGCCACAAAAAAAATAGTTCACAGTAACATAAGGCCATCTAAAATAGGTAGCTACATTAATGAACTTTCTTAATGAACAGAAGAAAAAAAAAAGTAACAGAAGCTGGTTAAATCAGAGATTTATGAGGATAAGTCTTCCCTGCCTTAAGGAAACTGTTCAGCCTAAGTGACCTCAGAAGCAGCTTGCGGTTCCTTGGCTCTGCACAGTGTGACAGTCTATGCTCCCCATGTCAGAGAACTGGCAGAGGGAAGGAAGGCTCACATTCCAAGCTTCTTTGTAAAGAGGTGCAAGCTGAATCCTTTTGTTTGATTTGACTGAAAAAGTGTTGACAAGCTGGAAGAAKCTTGCAAGGTAAATCTATGCCTCTGCAATGGAACTATTTGTTTTGTGGTGCCACTGTAGCGTGCAACCTGAGGACTTCTCTTTAGTGCTAGTTTCTGCAGAGAGGACTGAAAACAAGTAGACAGATCTTCAACTGAACACACTGAGTGAAGTATATATACATATAAAGTGCAATCAGCAAAGATGCTTTGAGATGGCATTAACATCAGTGAGCATAGTAGGAACTTGAAACAGACTTCCTGTAAACAGAGGGACATGCACTTGGGTCCAAGTCTTCAAAGAAAGTCAAGCTCTCAATCAGGTCCCTATTTTATATATATTTTACATGTACAGATAGAAAAGTTGAGTCAGAGGAAACTGAATAAATACAGCACAATTAGTTGTGGCCAGTCTGCCACTGCATCATGGAATTAAGTTCCCTCATTTCACGTCTAATTTGATGCGCAATGAATTACAGTTGATCTGTGCTACCTTAAGAGCATGAAGGAAAGGAGAGGAAGTTACATTTGCACATCTGACAACCAGCTGTATGAGAAATACTAAAACTCAGGATTGTTCTCAAACCCCAAAACATAAAGAAAAGAACCATGTAGGGAAGTCCCACAGGTACTTCACAGACTTACAGAGGTGATAGCATTGGGCTTGGCCCCATGTTGGAGAAGAACATTGATGATGTGAGTGTGGCCTTGCTGAGCAGCTTGGTGCAGAGGGGTGTATCCATTCTGTTGTTGACAGTGGTTACCATAAAAGCAAACAAACAAGAAGCACCAGCAATTAGATTAGATGCTTCATTCTGCTTCCTTCTCCTGAGACATTTGAATAAAAAATTTATGCCAGCAATTTACCCCAAGATAATAAATCTTCAGCAACAATAGCACTCCCTCTCCAAATTAATGAAAACATAAAACTGACAAATTATCTTACAATATAAGAAATTTTGGGAAAGGCACATAATACCCCATTCCTCAAATCAGAGACAAGGGCAAGTAGTCATGGTAAAGTTAAGATTGCATGCAGAGAACGTTTTTTCTTCCTCTCAGATCTCACTTTTTAAAAGGAAGCCAAAGACTTGACTTAAAAGTATTTGAGTCAATTTAATACATATATAATTTAACAGTGACGATTGAGTCCACTTGCTCTTTAAAAACCACAAAAGTCATACCAAACACAAACATCAATCAATTTTAGCTTTACTTTGCCTTTAAATGCCTACCCAAGCTATAAATACCCTGAAAAATACGTACATACTGTCTGTGCTAATCAACATGTTAAAACCTGTATATTATCAGCTCCAGTGATTCATTCAGATGTTACGCAATAAAGAAACAGAGCCAGAGTAACTCCAGCTAGTTGACTGGAGATGATATTGTGCAAGTCCAGTCAGGCAATTCATTTATAACTACAGTTAGCTTTTAAAGCAAGCAGAGAATAAACAGGAAGAACACACCAAACTGATTCCCCTGTACACACACTTAAAGCCTGGGGGCTTCATAGTGACCTTTGGGGCTTCAGTAACACACTAAGATTTATCTCTTTTCTAGGTGAATGGATGGATACGTGTAACACTTTATGCTACTAGCTAAATGGTGATAATTATTCAACTATTTAAATAACCAGTTTATTTASAACTGTTAAAATTCTTCAATTACAGACACAGGCTACTAAGAAATTAATGTGGGATCTTACTGTAGGSTATTGCATGCACAGTAAATTTATTTTTGTTACTTAAGTATCAATAAAATCCTTTAAAATAGAGTTCGGACATGATTTTTCACTGGAGACAGCACAAAGCATCCTGCAGGCTTTCTCTATTTAAAGAACTGGCTGCAAATAGGTTATTTATTCTCTAACACGCCTATCCTGAATCCAGCCAAAACTCTTTAAACTGAGTCAAGAGTACTGCATGACACAGTGCCAGGATTTCTAATGGCACCCTTGACAGGTTTTTTTTGGAGAACCACTGCACCATACTGTCATATCAGTCACTGTCATTCTGTTGGCAATATAAATCAACTTGTTGATTTTAATGAAATGATTGTTAACTAAGTGAAATAGAACTAGAGTTGGAACCAGGTCCATTGTGTCCAGTGACCCCTTAATCATGGAATAAGCTCTTAATACTAAGAAGCAAATACATCACTGTAACTAGACTCAGCTGAATGTCTTGGCAGCTAACCTTTGGATCCTGCTAATGTCTGCTTTATCAATGCATATCAGCTGCYTTTCTAATAGTATTGCCAGTACTTTGGGAATCTCTTTTTTTTAACCACTGGTTTTGGATGACTGCACACGGGATGGGTCAGCATGACTCCCGTCAGACTTCTATGTATTTATTTTACTAACTGCAGCTTACCACGTTCAGCTTAGACTGCTGTGATGAAACAGTTCTAGACTGAGAAATAGATCAAACCCATAGGTCACGGCTGGGGACAGAGGAGCTGGTTGCAAAGCTCAGCAGATTGCATGTCAGTATTTGAAATCCTAGTCAAATTACAAAGTGTGTCACTAGAACTATCAGTGGATTTAGTCCTTCATAATGTAGTGAAGACATCAAGAATTTAGTGAGGATCTAGTTTTTGACTGAGGCCAGTTTTACCACATCTGAAGTCTCACAGTTCCTGAGGTAGCCTTCTCTCTCTGATAAGGGTGATGTGAAGACATCTGGGATGCAACTCACCGTTGCAGTTATCAAAACCTCACTTCCTGATACAAATGCATCACATGGCCTTTTCACATGCCAGTTTATATTGGAAGAAACTACTGAAGTTAGTGGATTACATTCAGACCTTCCTGCAGGCAGTGCGGCCCAGTTCAATAGAACTGATCAGTAAGAGCATATCCTTCTCCTCCTCAGCTCTGCCTTCAATAAGCTGTACTCCTTCACTGCAGCTGTCTCCTCTCCCAAGTTCATGCCACCCACACTCTTCTCGGCTGTAACTCTTCCTACTCCATGTCCCATCAGATTAGGGAGAACTTGGCACTAGTCCCAAAGTCTCTGAATTGTTGTTTACTAGTCTGGCAGCATGCTGGTGTTCATACTGGTGTAAAATAAGTCTAATTAAAATGAAAAAGCAAACTTGCTGTTTTAATTGCAAGTAAAAATAAAATTGATTCTCTATCTCCCTCTTACACACACCCAAAGAGTTAACTGATCTAACTTCCTTTAGTGAACACTTCCCACTGAGATATAGCAGACAGAAAGCATTTCACTGCCACTAAAATCCAACAGATGTTGACACCARCTACACATGAAAAAATCATAAATTGCCTGCTGAAAAGGACACCTCGTGGTATGTATTGGTACTGCAGGGTTGCCATGTCTAATAAGGGGTAAAACAAGCAATGAAAAATKCTTTACCTTTGTTTTAGCATTAACATTCGCTCCCTGCTTGAGAAGGAAATTCACCATTTTGATGTTTCCGTAGTGACATGCCACAATTAAAGGTGTATAGCCCAGCTACAATAGAATAACAGAGTAAGTAAAACTACACGTTCAGGGGAAGATTCCTATAAAGTCATAGCACCTTTTGGCAAACTGGAGACAGTAGCCACTCCATGAGTTACCTTTGTCTGAGCATCCTGGTTGGCACCATGTTTTGTCAGTATTTCAGCTACATTTACTTTATCCCCTTGAGCTGCAAGGTGTAAAGATGTCAGTCCAGTCTAAAGATGCAAAAGAAAATAAATAATAATAATAATTAACAACTGAATGGTCCTACTGGAATGACAGGAAATAGATTTAGATATTCTCATTTTCTCATCTGTAAAACAGGAGAAGATTCTAAATCAGATTTTACATATCACCACCACTGGAGAATCTAAGGATACCATTTATGAAGTGAGAAGCACATTTACCATCCTTCCCACTCCTCAGACAAAAGGGAGAACCTTGATGACTGCAGGCACAAGTCAGAATGAAGAAAACTCCAAATAGATCCCATTCAAAAAATCCAAGGAAATGGATGCAACTTTTTAGTAAAAGCATGCAGTGATGCACAGAGCACTAGTCTGCCAACAAGGCAGGAAACATTTTATAAGAGAAATAAACCCTATTTTGTTTCACGTTGGTTAGATAGGATATTATATTAAAAATGAGAGCTTGAGCTCTCATTTTCACTTGATTGAGCAAAAGCTCCAGGGTTTTCATCTTAAGTTCCGTAAAGATAACTGCATAAAACTTGTGGCCTAGGAAGRCCTATGGTAATAGGGAATGTTTCGAAGAAGCACTTGATTTCCATGAAGTAGCTGCCACATGCAATCATCAAAATCCATGCATAAGAAAGTGTCACGGCTGACATAACCACTGAACTGTTCTTCACTGTAGCTCTCAGGTTTCTTACATATACTACAAGAACCTACACACTCCAGAAGTCCTCATCCTTTGTGTAAAATATGAAATTTAGAAAGCTTATGTGATAACACCAGAGGAGAGGGCAAGGCTGCTGCCCAGCAAAACTACTGCTGTCCTGCCTCCCTGAATGACTTAGCAACAACTTTCTCTTTCCTGTCTTCTCCCCTCTTTATAAATAAAGTTCTACCAGAGCTGGATGTTGCATCACTTTCCACTTGTAATGCCAAACAGATGCATCTCCCCTTGAGTACCACCCAGCATAGTTATTAATGACACAGTATAAGCTAACCAGTTAGTCTCCATCTGCCAACCCTAGATATTCTCTTCTCATCTTTACTACCCGCCTCTTGATGCTTCTGGAAATTCACAGAAACATACACAGAAGGAAGTGCAGACTTTCTGAGAATGTGAGATAAATCCTACAAAGCACTTTACATCTCACTGAACACTCCCACCATAGTACTTTGCCTTCTGTTGTTGAGTTACCTTTGTTGCCACGTGAATATTAGATCCTTTCTCCAAAAGCAAGTTCACCATGTCTGCATGACCTTCTTGGGAGGCCAAATGAAGCGGGGTCACACCCTGTTTAGTCAAAATGTTGGTCTCGGCCCCATAGTTCAACAGAGTGGTAGCTATCTGCATCTGATTTTTCTTGGCAGCGATGTGCAGAGGGGTGTATCCATTCTAACACCAGTCAGGAAAGCAAAATGAGAACAAGAAAGTTAACACAACAGCCTGTAAGCATATCAAGTCAGATGCCTAAACCAATATTTTTGTACGCTTCCCACTCTCCCAGAGTGGAGATTCATTATATTCTGAAGGCAAAACTTTTTCTAAGTGGCCTGACTCTTCTGTTGCTACGTCCATCTGCATTTTCTCCTTCCAAACTAGGACAAAGCTCCAGCTCACAGTACAGTTAATCAGATACTTTCAAATTACCCAGACTTTGACACCTATTTTTTTTTTAAATATCTTACGCTGTAAATATTCACTTTTGCCTGATGAATGACATTCTCTSTAGAAAGTGATGAGTGAAAACTCTTCACTCCGTTATGCTTTTTTCATTTGTGGGGAGATCTGTGTTTGCATGTGGCATTTTGGTACACGGGTCAGTCATGTTGCTGATGGAAGGAGTGCTTTTCAGTTCAAATTGACCATTTTAGCAAACTAGACATTTTCTGGCGAGAAGACKACTTCTCATTTTTAATTGCTTTGGAATGTCCTATGGGGGTAAGCTCTGGGTTATAAGCAGCAGCCTCTTGGAGGGGGGAAGGGAGGGGGCAGGGTTGGCTAGTTGGTCTGGAGTTTTAGGGAGTGGGGAAGGACGGGGAGAAGCTTGAAGCTATCATGTTACAATTCCAGCTTTTGCTACTTTCCAGAGGACAACAGTAAGAGCAGTTCTTATGTAATCAGCAAGAAGACAGACTACCTCTTTTTAGCAGCCTCTATATAATCAGCAGTCCCATACTGGTCAAAACATTCTGAAAACAGTAATATTTTTCCTGCTGTTTTTCTCTTTTAATAGTCTTTGCCTAACCTAGTGAGATCATCATACAATTCCTATTCACAGGAGAAATCCTGCAAATGCCTGCTCAGTTTCTAATAAACGGTTTCTGTTATGAGACAACRCTAAAGTGAGTTCCAACTATGATCAAAACTCATGGACACAGAAGCAGACTTACAGACACATGCATCTCTCTCTCCGTCTCTCTCTGTCTCTCTCTCTCTCYCCCTCCAAATGACCCCAAAGAATCACAGAAYGATTTATGCAGAAGATATCTGGTTACGATTTATGCAGGAGATATCTGGTTGAAACCAAAAACAACTCCCAAGTTGCATTCCATTGCTCAGAAACTTGCTTAGCCAAATTCCGAATGATTTGGTCGCCCCTCTAGGCAGCTTGTTCCCATGTTTGACCAGCCACAGGATGGAGATATCTTTCTTGGTATCTAACTGAAAATTTCCATGTTTCAACCTGCAACTATGGTCCTAAGACATCACATGCCCTCTGTCTCCAYGTCAAGCATCATCCCACTTAGGATGCACCCTTGGAGACTAAGCACTGCAGTAGCATATGCATCTGGTGAAGAGACTGCTTACTGCTTTCCAGCTCCATAGGGTAGGTGCGAGCTGAGAGCCAGATCTCCCTCTCACAAGGGATTTATACTCAGGTAACACTTGCAACCCTCCGTGAAGTTAACTACACTTGGCATATAAGAGGAGGCTTGTGTTCTGCAAGAAAATCACCAGTTCAGACTGCTTTAACCAGTCTACATTAAAAAAAAAACCAAGCCATTAACCCATAAATACACCGATTCAGCCACGCTGCTGCAAAGCAGAGTGCCATATGGTATCTGACAGAGAGAGCTGCTTGTCTGCTCATTGCACCTGACATGTCCTTAATTTTCCACAGAAAGGAACAGGTGGCGACAGGCATGAGTATCACCTGACAAGGTACCTGCACATCACTGTGTAGGTGATCAGCCTCCTCCCTAAATGCACGGTGCCTCCGCCCTCCACCAGGTACGCGCTGAAGAGTTCAGCGCTGAGGGAGCCCTGCCTGTTTCACCGCTCAGAGCTGAGGGCGCCCTGTTTCACCGCGGTTTGCCCCGCTGTGCCCGCAGGCGGGGAGGAGAAGGGAAGGGAGGGGAGGGGAGGGCAGCAGCGCGGGCAGAGGTGACGGTTGGCGGCCGTTGGCGGCGGTTGGTCGCTCACCTTGGCGGTGACGTGCGGGGAGGCGCCCCTCTCGAGCAGCAGCAGCGCCACCTTCTGGTTGTCGTAGTGCGTCGCCACGTGGAGCGGGGCGAGGCCGTTCTGCAAAGGGCCGTTATTGCGTTAGCGCCGCCGGGGAACCGTTAACGGGCGCTCGCTTTACGGGGCGAGGGTCGGGCGCGGGAGCGGGGTTCAGCCGGCGGTTAGTAGGCTGCGGTTAACGGGACGGAGCAGCAGCGGAGGGTACGTTTGAGCAGGCACCGCTGCGGCGCCGCTCCCCAGGCACGCAGCGGGTTTGGGCTACCACTCCCGCTGACCAGCAGTCCTCAGGAAAAGCACAGCCTGCCCCCACTGCGTTCAAATTACGATTTTCACAGCTTTATGGGCAGAGCACAGCATGCCTATCTACTAGGTAAAAATACACAAAGCAACCAACACTGTACATGCATTTCCCAAGACTAACATGCATCACCAAAGCCCTTGAGAGAACACCATAAAGCAAAGGTGACCACAGGAGAGCAGTTGCACCCCATTTTGCTAAGCCCATTCTGCACAGCAGCGCCCCAGTTTGCGAGCGCCCTGGGCGGTACCTTGCCAGCCGCGTCGGGAGACGCTCGGCGTTGCAGGAGCAGCTTCGCCACCTCCAGGCTCCCGTATTTGGCTGCCACGTGCAAAGGCGTGAATCCCTTCTGCAGGACAACAGGAGAGAACAGCAAGAGGTTGTGCTGGAAAACGATGCTGACARCTCTCAAGAACCACATCTAGGACTRCCAGTAAACATTACAGGCACTTAGGTTGCAACCTATGTCCTAACTGCTGGGGGGGTTTGTTGTTGTTGTTGTTTTCTCCCTTGCCCAGAATCAATAGCCATACCCAGAAATAGCATTTATCACTTGAAAACATTTTGAAAAGTGTGATGCACAAAACCACACCTTTTTCTTTTGTTCTTTCATACATACATAATGACAAGCTGGCAGACATTTCATCCGATACAGATTTCATGAGCAGAACACATTGTGTGGGCAATGAAGGCGCTCATTCCAATTTCTACTCAGAASAGGCTGCATTTCAAAATCAGTTTCATAATCATAGCTTTAAAAGTATTTCCCATATCAATTCTTGCCGGTTATGACAAARCCCCAACTAAATTTGTTGAGAAAAGCTCCAGAAATTGTGTCCTTTCTTTACTGATTTTGTTTAAGAATGATTTACATTCGATTTATGCTTTATATACAGCCACTAAGTTCTATCACAGTCTCTGAAATTCRAGTAAAGAGACTCATGCATGAGTCAAGGGCAGTGTTTAAAGGGTAATCCAGTAAGACTAAAAATAGTGTCTCTCTTTCTAAAGAGTCATTTTCATTAGTTTTAAAAATAGTTATCAGTGAAGCACAGACCAAAGACCATGTCAAACATGGTATTTACTTTCATGGCAAAAAAACTCGTGGATATCAAGACAGTAGATGGCAGACCACTCTGCTGTCCTGACAATAACCCCAAAGAGGCATCAGGTCCTGTTTGCCTGACACAAGTGATGTCTAGTGTTTATTTTCATTGTTGTTTTATTAAATTAATCCCACTTTCAGAGTTTTACGTAAGGGAATCTCAAATGTTTTCATCTCATAAATCACAGGTTAATAGAGGGATTATCTAGTGAAATRTATCGTTCATATTCATAATTATAGAATGTTCTTGCCATAAAGCTRTTGCCATAAAGCAATATTGAAAATTAAGGAAGTACTTAGTGTATTTTTAGCTATTTTAATGTGATTTAACAGRCGGATAAAAGGAGAACAGTAAGCAATCCCAGTAATTTGTGGATGAGAATTCGACAATCACAGGTTTAGTCTTCTAAATCATGGAAGACATTCCATTTTTCAAAAACGTTTTAAGCTCCAATTGTAAAATCAGGGGGGCAAAATCAGAAACGACGTTTAGATCTTTAGCTCTAAAACTATAGTGAAAATCACTTAAATCACTTGTGATMAATTTGGAAAAGATATCTTGGCACACTCTATTCACAATATCTGTTTTTTAAGTGCTCATCACTATTTGGAACRCATTGGTAATCAGGTTGAGCTAACAAAACAAATAATTCCACAGTATGTTTCTTTTATAACCCTAGGGGAAAAAAAAAAAAAAAAGCAAAGCATATTGTGTCTTATGATACATCATTTACATCTCATTTGATCATATGATACATCTCATTTATAGAAACACTGAAAATAGATTTAGAGTTAGCTGAGACTGGACAGATGCTAAACTGTATCAGTGAATTTCTCTCAGCTAATAGAGACCAGAATTGTTTACATAAACAGAATATTGAGAGACATGCAGGCCTGTTTACACAGAAGTATTCAGCTTAATTTTCCCCACATCTGCATTCTCTATTTTGAAACTTTCAGAAAGAAGAAGAAGAAGAAAAAAAAAAAAAAAAGAAGGGAGAAGAAAAAAAAAAAAATAGCCCTACCTGTAACACAATGGGAAGGACCAAAATCAGGACTTCATGGGAGAGAGAGGAATCAAGGCTTCAGGTACATGTTAAATCTATTGAAAGTATGCACTTACAACCTGCTTTTGGCTCTAGTGGGAACTCAACCCCCAGCTTCAGATGATGGCAAGATATTTTAAAAGCGATTAATTCCAGATACGTTTATTCAGCCTATTTGCTTCCTGCTAATTAAACAACAAGAGCCGGAAAACTAACTCAGTTTCTCAGTGAGAGCCTGGAGCAGGTCACTCCCTGGGCACTGCCTACCAGAGCACAGGCACAGAGCGTTTTGTCTTACTTTGGTGGACATGGAGTGCGAGGCGCCTGCCTCCAGGAGCACCGAGGCGACGTCCACCTGGCCCTCCCGGGCAGAGATGTGCAGGGGGGTGTACCCGTTGGTCGTGGCCGCGTCGGGGTGCGCCATGTGCTGCAGCAGAAGTTGGACGATCTCCGTTTTACCCAGGCGAGAGGCAATGTGCAGCGGAGTCTGTTCTTCCTACAACTCAAATGGGGTACGTAATTACCACAGGCAGAACCATCCTGACCATCAGACGCTGGGGAGTTCCTGCCGATCTCTCTGTGCATTTTTCTACATGCTTTCATCAGAAATCAAACTAAGAGACAGCACAAAAACTAACAAATAAAAAGTACTAAAGGAACAACCTGTAAAACTAATTTCTGGGTTTAGCTTCAGCGTTTTTTTTTTTTTTCTCCCCCCTCTCACTGGGAAGGCAGATAGTTGACATCGCTGTGAGCACCACTTGCTTTCCTTGGTATTCTTAATTTTTTGTAGAACAGCTGCACTTTGCTTGACAAACAGTCCCTTTGGGCACTCTGTGCTAGCTGTTATCAGAACCTCCAGTGTTTGGTTTTAGGACACTTCTGTACAATCCTTGCTAGGAAAAAAGTAGCCAATACTATTCGGAGCCAGACACCATCTACTTGGATGAACTGCACACAAATAAGCTACCTTACAGAATGGTATATAGATGTACTTCCTGTTGAATCCATAGATCAAATGAAAATGAAATTGAAAATAAAAATGAATTCTTAACCCAACTGCTCCAGACACATTTTGGAGAAAGCGAAAGAAGTTGCAGAGAGGCCACCTACCCTAGCTCGGGCGTCCACCAGCGCCCCATTTCTCAGGAGACAGCGAACCACTTCCACCTGCCCAGCACGGGCAGCCATATGAAGTGCGGTTTCTCCACGCTGCAGAAAAGCAAACATGTTTCAGTGACCTAAACCTCATGGAACAAAGAAAGCTCAGATTTTATAAGTTTCACCCACTGCAACTTGAGRAGAAAAATCACACTTCTGCCAGATATGAATCTGGCTGTTCATGCTCAATATCTGTGCATTCAGGACAGTCACTGGCCCTAGGTACTATATGAAAATCCTTGCTTTATTGCAGTCATTAAAATCAGATTTCTATTCCAGTAAAAATGCAAATTCATATTTGGTATGAATTTCACACATATTCACATTATAGTGTGAAAATGATGCAAAAACACGTCCCACCTGAGAACACTCAATCCCCAAATAGTCCTAAGAAATTCTGCCCTACGGACATCCCTGGTGACCTACATTCCTCAACCCTCCACATCACAGCACGTCAGCTTGTGCCACACGGGAAATAAGAGTATATTGAGCCTGTCTCTTTCAAGCAATCGTGAGGCACATAAGCCTCAAGATGGAAGGGGATATTTTTCCAGAYGGTCTCTTCCTGCCTGCTGTGCGGAGCTGGCAGCTTTAGGTGGCCTTGCAATGGCCGTGCACAAGGAACCAATGTGTAAAATCTGTGCTAAGCAACATGGTTGTGTCTGTGGGCTGAGACATGAATCTTGGCTTCAGGCTTTCCTAGCCCAAAGAATTTAAGGAGGAATATGAATTTAAGAAGTTTGACTGACACAATCTGGAAATTTAGATCAGGATAACGAACTGCAGATGGTACATTCGAATTATTTACTTTTGCACTAGTTTTCAAAAGAATGCTGAAAATGGGCCATCCTTGGTGACAGAGCTCCTGGTTCAATTCTGCACTGTTCAACACCTCTTGAGGACACCCTCCTCTAAGGGCATTCAAAGGACCAGCCAAGTCCTCGTACAATTCACCTATACATTACATGATTCATTAGGTAGTGGAATAGTTCAACAGCCATGAGCTCTATATTTATATGTTTTGTTATGACAATACAGCAGGACTCAAGACTTCTTTGCGCCAAGAGTTCAATCTAAAACACCCCCACCGTCAACATCTTATGCATTAGGCACCAGTTTCTCTCTAGACTTTTCCTGTACAGATGTAGCAAAAGTAGTGACTCAGTTTTAGCCTCCATYATGAACTTTTTAATTCACAGCAAACCTGCCTCCCCGGGAGTTTATTTGTTTACACTAATTTAAAATTAACATTGTATTACCAGCTGTGTTTAGTGAGTAGGCAACAATCAARAACCCAAAGCTCTAATTAAAAATTTTAATATAGAAATTTGTCTATATAAATTTTACTACCTGTGGAATGAGATGTTTAAAATGCAAATAAGTTTTACGGTTTACACCCTTTAACGATCAAATTTCTGCTCTGGACTTTGAATTAGCAARGCAATTTAGCCTCTGGAAACAGTAACTCAACAGGGAACTTCAGCTTACAAAGCAMAAGCCAAGACACCTGGGTAGCACAAATTATAGTGTTAAATTTTGCATACAAATGTCCAGTAACACCACTATGACATTTTTTATTGCTTCCACAGGAATTTCTTGTTGGTTTCCATATTATTAACTACATTTGAATATAAACATTGCCAAAACATAAAAACAGGAACAGATTTTGTCAAAACTAGTCTGTTCCAGTAACTCAAGTAGAAAATTCAGAGTTTTGTTGAACATTGTTATGAGGTCACCTATAAGATTTTTCAAATCAAGAGAAACTGAGAGGTCCAACAGATCCTAATTACTCACTGATTTGTTTTGTTGGGAGAATATATTGCTAACTTGGCTTTCCGGTAAAATCTCCTTGCAAAGTAAAGACAGTTGTGAGCTTTTTATTTATAATATCAAATTTAATCAGCAGTGTATCTGTGAAACTCAACTCAGGAAGCCATCATGTTCTTTTTACTGCCATCATTCTTGGTAACTAAGCTATTGGTATACAAACATTGATTTCTATGGTAAGTCAGGTTCTGCATTATGTGTTACCTCCCAAAGGTCACTTTTTTTTTTTTTTTTTTTTTTAATAGACTTAAATATGCTCTTTAGAAAGGCACCAATTCCCAGAATTTCCTGTTAAAGGAACATCTTGCATTTAACATTTTTATTTTCTCAATAATTAGTTTTATGCATTTTACATACTTTCACTCACACAAATGACAATTTCATGGCAGCAAACGGAGCTGTGCAGGCAGAAGTCAGAGTCATTAGAATTTATTTCATCATTCAAAACTGATGAAATTGAATCTTCTGTATGACTCAGTTTACATTGAGTTTTGATGATTTRCTTGTCTTTAAGGAATACTTCATCTACGTAAGCATTCATGAGGAACACACAAAGCCCCAAACAGCTTATGGTGCCTGTACAATAGCCATTCCCACCCCACCTCTACTGTTTGGGAAAGGCACTAGGATAACTCATCCTAAATTTGTAACTACTTATGATAAAAATGAGACCTTTGGCTGAACACAGAGGAGGCCAGCCTCCTGCTATATGAGCTATCACACAGATGACTCTAGTCCAAGCCATACTCACAATGTTAGTGACATCGGGAGAGGCTCCGTTCTGCAGCAGGAGGAGGACTATGTTCAAGTGGCCCATAAATGCAGCCACGTGTATTGGTGTGAGGCCCGACTGCGAAACAAAGCAAGAGCAGTTTTACTCCTCTGCATGGGGCATAGGGAAGAGGCTTCTTCGTTTAAGGAAAGTGAAATACGAGGCATGATAAGAAAAAGAAAAAAGGAAGTAAAAAAGGAGAGAGCAAAGGAAAGTTTCTTCATGATACGGAACGTTTTTCTACCTCTGTTATAGCCTGGATTGAAGCCCCATATTTCACCAGGAGTTCCATGACTTTGATGCGATTTTTCTTGCAGGCAATGTGCAGTGGAGTAAAACCATTCTGTGCAAAAGACAGTTATGTTAGTCAAAAACATGCAGCTACACTTTCCACACAGCTCTACGTGAGCACACTGAAAGCATAAGCGTTAGAATATCCAAAGCAGCTCTTCTTTGGAGACTCTATAGGTTATGAATTATAGACATCTCTTCCTAGCGGTGGGAGACAGAACACAGCAGTGCCAATCCTTCCTTCTTAGAGACAGGAGAGAAGGCAAACTTCCACCTCTGGAAATCAGATACAGCCTGTTCAAACTTGAAAGTATGCATGTGGGTGTGTATGTTCAAGACAGTGCAATTGCATGCACTGTCATCCATATATATCATCCATTTAAGACTTAGACATCCCTCTCTAAAGTGCAAAACATTTCTCCAGATGCTGCCTCGTCTTCTCATTTGACTTCATCTTATAAGCTAAGTATCTACTTATTTATTTATGCATTYATCTTTAGTACACTTAATGCATAAATGTTTGCATATTTGTATATTCTGTGAGGTATCTTAAATTAATAATCACTTCTTCAGCTGTTTCCYTAGACAAAGTGTTTGGTCTTTAAGTATCTGCATCTCCCCTTCACTTATTCCTGCCCTGATGAGTCTGAAGGCATCGTAAGCAAGATATGAGCACTCATCTGCATTAAAACTAAATAGAGCATGAACAGAAACTTCTTAAATCAGGCCTTCAACCTAACACTACAGTTTTAATATTGCACATAAGATCAGCAAATATTCATTTCTTTGGAAACGCTCAGTCAATAAGACTGAGGTATTTCCAATACAGTATGTCTTCATACCATATACTATACCACATCTCCTAATACCAGCTGTTTTTACATACAGTTATAGCTAACACAGGTTAAGTGCATAACTAAGAAGCTAAGCAAGTAAACATGTTCTTTTTTAAGTGAGATGATTTAAAAGTATCACTTCTCAGCTGTTAATAAAAAAAAAATCAAAATAAAATTCAGTACTTCTGTGTGAATTTTTTTTGTGAAAAGGACAGGTAACATTTTGTTAACTGGTGCATTTTCTAGTGAAAAGGATCAATATTGCTATACATTCAATCAGAAGCAAAAGAAAAGGACAAACAAAAATTAGGTGGCCTTGAAGTAGGAGAGCAGGAAGGCAGTGGCCTGAGATCCTTCTCCTTTTGTTTCAGGACTGCTGTTTCTCAGGGAGGGAATGAAAGACAAAAGGAGAAGAACAAAAGACATATTTCTGGTCAAGAAAGGAAAGAATCAAGATGTGGGGGCTAGTACATATATAGTATGTGTGAGTAGCTGAGGAAAGCACAGTTATAGGGTGATGGAAAGGCTGTAGTGTAAAACTGAGCATAAGGATTTAAAAGGTACAGAGAAAAAGACCAACCAAATGGTATGGAAAAAGTCTGACCAAGAGAACTGTATGACCAGGATGCAAGAGGAGTTAAGGAATTTGAGAGTAAACAGGCCAAAAAAAATGACATGGCAGAAGATTTGGGCAGTAAAAAAGCCAGTTCCAAGCAGGCAGTGAAGCAGGAATTTCTTGTAATGGGGAGACAGTTGACAAAACAAATTCAAGGTTGTCTCAGAGGCAAGAAGCTGGGGAAGACATAAGAGTGGCCTGCAGTGAAAGCTCTGTAGAAGCATCAAATACTGGAGGCAACTGCAGAATTCTTGCCATCCATATGTATCTTAAGTGCCCACCATCTCTCTCCTTCCCACACTGAGTTTAACACATTGTTATTATTTCAGGTTCTATTCAAATAATAGTTCATGGGCATGCTTCCCATGAGAAAAAAAATGGCAATCATTCCAGACAGATTAAAGGCTCTTGAAAGCTTTATATATTCCCAAAGCCAAAACTAGATTTTTTTTTCAGTTAGGAGATGACAGTCAGATCAATGAAAGAAAGGGTCAGACGTCTTCCTGACATCATTTAGCTTACTGATTCAGTGGAAATTTTTGAAAAATCAATTGGGTATCATAGCATGCTGTTAGCAGTAACAGTGTGTAAGATAAAAATCAGAACCATTTCTACCTGAAGCTAAGAACTCTTGTGTTTCCAAACCTGATACTATAAACAAGAACCCCTAATGATATGGGGGGCACTCTCCTGGCAGCATATAGACATGACAAGTGGCAGAATTTCCACTTAGCTTTGCTAATAAGTGCTACTCATCAGCCCTTAACAGTTTTGCTACATCACCCAGGCAGAGCAGGTTTACCAGGGCCCGGGCATTGGGATTTGCTCTCTTGTCCAGGAGGAGCTTGGTGACACGGTAGTGGCCGCAGTGCGCGGCCACGTGCAGGGCGGTCAGGTAATCCAGCGTGACGTCGTCGACCGGAGCCTTGTGCTGCAGGAGATGCTTGACACACTCCACGTGGTCCCCCTGGGCCGCCATGTGGAGCGGAGAGAGTCCATTCTAGGGCAAAAGAAGGCAAAAGTGTCATTTCTGGCACCTCTTCCTTAGGTGGTGGCACACATAGTAAGAGATCCACATTGAGTTTAAAGAAAACTTGTCCCTGAAGCAGGGCCACATCTGAGCTAAGGACTAGGAGAAAAACTGAAAAAGATTATGCCCATTTCAGCTAATGCAGGTGAATTGAAGTCTGAAGTCCAAAATGTTGAAGTCTGTGGACAGTAGATTTTTCTTTTTCTTTTCTTTCTTATGAAAATATTTGTATTATTTACATATTCATCCGCCTCCAATTTGGAATCACCTGTTTCAATAAGACTGTCTTAAAATCTGTTTTCATTTTATATGCAATTTGATATTTAGAAAACATTGCATATTTAAAGACAGACTGTAATTGTGCAGACTTCAACTGGAAACTGATTTGGTCTAATCAAACTTGCTGATCATTTATCATCTAGAAAGAGAAATTATTCACTGGCCAGGTCTGCTCTGCTCAAACTGCAAGACACTGAGGACGTCCAGATTCTTTTGTCACTCTTGATCTTCCAGGCATGCAATTCCAATATTCTATGTCATTGTTTCCCAGCTATTGATAACGTCTGTCTTGGCCAGACACTCTGAGACCTACTAATGTGAAGTGCTGCACATCAGGGCTTAGAGTATTATATGACAAATGCCTTTCACTGATTGAACTCAAAGGGCAGTATTTCTAACAAATGCATTCATCTTGAGCATATGCTTTTAAAAAACTACTGGGAAAACTGACATCATTTTCAAAGTCCATTAAAAAAATCAGGAAAAGATGTAACCCATAGCATATAATTAACTCATATGAAGGATCAGCAAATATACACAGGGAATCTCACAGGAGTGCCTGACCTAACTTTCCAGTCTGTGTTTCCAGTAGTTTTAAAAGCCACAGAATTTAAGTATTTGCAACCAGATTATGCATTTATTTTTATACTATAGAGGTGGAGATATGTTTTGATTTACATATTGGAAAATGATGGTCCCTTATTGTATAAGAAAACCTTATTTTTGGATCATTCTACCCATTACTATATTCCCTCCGGAAGGGAAACAACGTTCCTGTCTTATTCCCTGTCCTTTCAGTAACATTGAAAATTCTTTGGAAAGTTGCACAGAGCTGTTAACATGTTTTTCTAATAAGGCACACACCTTGGTCCTCGCAAGCAGTGGGGCACCTCGTTCCAGAAGCAGCTCCACAACTTGGTCATGTCCACTTCTTGCAGCACAGTGGAGTGGTGTGAGTCCATCCTTAAAGCAAAGGAAGGGAAAGTAAACAAGCACATCCGTAGCTCTACCACCACCCTTTTCTTTTTGGACTCTTAACTGAATTGGCTCAACTGCATGAAGTTTCCCTTCTATCATTCCTTACAYTTGTGAAGGACACTCTAAGAGTGCAGTTTCAGAGAGAAAGTCCATTGTATGTAGAAATAAACAATCAAAAACCAAGTGTGCATGCGCTGTCTCCTTCCCTCCTTCTCTGCAGGGCTTTGAGATTGCATTGCCTCTCCCCTGCTAGCGTGGGTTGGGCTGAGGATGCTTGTTAACCAACCCTTGTCCTTGGGATTTTTTTTGATGCAGGGATGAAACAGGAAAAGTCCGTGCTAGAAAATTTATTCCAGAATGTATTGCATTTCTAAAACAAGCAGCAAGAGAAAGAAGATTTTAAAGCAGAGAGAAAAAGAAGGAGAGAAAAAAAAAAAAAAAAAAAACAACAAATTAACATCTTTTGGTTCTGAGATGGAATGGGGGGAACAGAAAATAAAGTGATAATAATTCTTTGCTAAAAATGTTGACAGCATCAGTTCTGCAACATGTTCTCTGTTGCCCAAGAACATCCAGTCCCAAAGCACTTGCTTAGGCTACACAGTCACCGGACACAGCAGTGGTTACAAAAGATGTGTCAATGAAACAGTCAGACAGCAGAGCACGTTGTAGGTAATGCTGCTACGCTTTGTCCCTTATAACGAGTTCTAAAACAAAAAGGAAATTTGAGGCAAAAAAATGCTTACGGAAAAGAAAATTTACGTGATATAGCAAGCCAAGTTTTCTTATTAGATCTTGATATTATTTTGGCATGCACTCAGAAAAGTGATAAATACCCAGAGAGCTTRATAATGTTGATATGTTAATGGTTTTAAATTATAGAGAAGGCTCTGCTCCTTTTCAGACAACTTGCCTTAGATAGAGGTAGATGCTGCTGTTTCTACAGTGTCYCTACAGTAACATAATAATTTTAAGATGCAGATGTTCATCTGAGATGAATTCATTACTTATAGATTACAAAAGTGGTAAAAATGCAATATTATGCCTTAAACATGAGACAGTGAATCTCCACCACACAAAAATATACTGACAAACTTGCCAGCATTTGCAGAACATCTACTTTGTTACGTTWTCACATCTACTACTAACACTTCAGAATTAGAAGTTCTCCTCAATTGCAACTGYACCACCTCAACTATCTAAACATTGGCCTACAATACTGTCCAAAGAGTAGGTGCAAGCACTGGATCCCCCTTCACTCTCTGCTAGAAGCACAAAGCAACTTTTCAGTTAGTGCACAGAGCTCTGCTTCAGGGGAGAAGCAAAAACCTGCAGGGAGGATTTTTTCTCCCTCACATACCTACTGTTCCCAGGCATTTCAGAAACACATGAAGGGTGGGCTTAGATGGGTTTTGACTCTCACTGTCATGGTTGCTATTTCTGCACTACTAAATCCTATGGGAGCTTCTCAGTAAAACTCCATATGTGGAAGGTCATGCCTCAGAAAATCTGGGAGATCAGGTATGGGAAATCTTGTATGACTGGCTTACCTGTTTTTATATGCTCTGAAACTTCAGGGCACCTTATGTTAATTCTCTAATGGCACAGCTGACTGTATTTTCCTCCCGCTACCAGAGAGGTTCAAACACCTAACTTCAAATAGCATTACAAAGACAAGACTGCATCCCAAACATATTCCCAGGACAGGTATTTTTCTGGTATCTCTCTCCAATTTCCAGCCTCTGTGCTCTACATTTTAATCAGGATGGGTGGTTTGCTTTCATTTGCACAATGAGTTTTTGTTACTTTATTTAATAAAATGGCGAAATAAWGGTAGAATTGTGAGGAGCTTTGAAAAAAACAGGACAAATCCCTGGGACAGGAGCAGKGGGAAGGAAAACAATACAATCCAAGTGATGCCTCAATTCCACGGGAAAACAATTTCTTGAAATGGAAAATAAGAACTGAATCTTTAAAAAGCACAAATTTCTTATCTGTAGGTCCCTGTAATAATAGGTATAAAAACTTGTGATCTACCCTATCTTGTCCTAGTGTTAACAAGAGCATCCTCATTTGCTTTCTCTGCACTTTCTAATAGGTGAATTAAGCAATGTACTTTGCAGTCTCCACTCATGTAACTCTTTTTCCTTCCATCTTTTTCTCCTTGGGAAAAGAGCATGTATACTTTAAAATTACAGTACACTTAATACTTTAGATTGTATTTTTATGTTTTATTCAAAGGTAAGGGGAATCCAAAAGGGAGAGCTGTAGTAGAATTAGTCATAGAAGAATTAGCACATAACACAATGAGGACAAGCTGACATGAGCCGAGACATACACTGGTGTACCACATGCAYACGCTTTGGCTCCTTTACCTGTTTCTAATGAACATGATGCTTTGGAATCTGCTGCAGGAGCTGGCCTACATACCATTTTAATCACGCCAATGCTAACCAGTGCACCATGTAATTTGGAGAATGCGTGCTCACCAAAATACCATGTGTCATTTGAAGGAACATACAACACCAGGTCCAAGAGATACACACCTGGTGTGGACACCTCAGAAGCCACCATTCCACAAGACATGAAATTCGAACACATCCACACCTTTAGAGGTCCCACATTTACATCCTCATCTAAAATCACGGCAAGTTAATGTTTTCATCTTCCAAGCAGCTGAGTAACATGCTGCCTCCTCTACTCTACTGTGTGCGATACTCTTATAACAGGCCATTTTTTAAAGTACCTATCAGGTGCCTCACGGTTACAAAACAAACTACAAGTCATCAGGTATGGAAGCCATGAAATCTCATCTTTTCCACTTTCCTCTTAAATAGCTGTCAAAACACAGCAACAACTTTTGCCCTTTTTCTTAAAGATCACCTATCATTTCTTAAACGGTATTGTCATTTTTGAATTCCTTGCCTGACTCCTGACTACAGGGCTCAGGAATATAAATCATTAAGTCATTTCATAGTTATTAAAGTGTTCTGCTTAACAGAGAGGCTGAACTTATGGGAGATTCTTAATGGGAAATTATGTGGGTAGCATCTCAATGAAAGAATTTATATCTATTTGGTGCTCACTGAAATCAAGACTAATGACACTACATGAATATCAAAAGTCAAATTATCAAAGAAATATTCTAAACCGCACCTGAAAACTCTCATTTGTATAATRACATAATCAAATTTGCATAATGTGTATACATTAGGCACATATGTGCCCAAGCGGTACAACTTCCTTGAAGGTCCCACTCTTTCAGTTTGTTCACTCTTGCATTACTACTAAACTCATTTCTTAAGACGTGTACAAGGCACCTCTACCTCTTGTTCTAAGCTTTAAGAATCTGGGCATAACTAACCAAACTCTAAGTATTCCTCCAGGAATTCAATTCAAAGTAAAAAAAAAAAAAATTAAAATTAAATTAAAATTAAAAATACAAACAAATAAAAAATAACAAAAAAGATATATGCTATGTGTTTGCTTGACTGATATTAACTTAAAGAACTCTAAATAATAGTCTAAGCATTTATATAGTTTGGTAGCATATATAATCTGTTCATCATTCCCTCTCCCTTGCGAACATTATGTAAATCACCCACTTTTTTTTAATATGCAATATCTGCTTTATGATTAGACATTTATTTATAACCCGACAAAGCCTTAGGAATGGCAAAAGCTGCCAACAAATTATTAGTGCTCTGTCCATGCGTTAGGACTAGGAGAGAATGTCAGAGCGGGATTAGTGCAGAGAAAAGCCCCGGTGTAACTGGGGTCGAGCGCCAAGGMAGCGCGAGGCTCCCGTTACAAGGGCTTGATGAGAGGAACCCCACGGCAGAGCCTGCTCTCTGTGAGGAAGCATGCTTAGAGGATGACACCATTACAAACACATCCCATGCTCCCGGGATCCGTGTCACAGGTGGCTGATGCTCATTCACAAAAGAGACCCGACTTGCCCTCCCGCAGGTTCTTCCCTTTCCTTCTCTCCTGGGTGTCGCGCAGCTCTGTGCCCAGCCTTGCCCTTCTTTCAGCTCCAGCTGGGCTCTCTCTTCCGCGGCCCTTTTCCAACCCAAATGCCTCACAAGGCTTTCTCCCCAGCTCATTGCTTCTATCCCACTYCAACTCCCGCTGCCAAGCTCTGGGCACACAGCGTCTTTACTCCCCAGCACAGCCAACTTTCCCTTCCAAGACTAGCTAGATTCACCAGTTCATCCCAGGCTTTTCTCAGGCCTAAATGTTCTGGGCAAGAATCGCAAGAGGACTCCAAAAAAGTCCCAAAGTAAAAACAAGCAGCAAAGTTCAGYAGAAAGAACATAAAAACATGACAGCCTCAGCCTCTGTACAAATTGCACTTAAAGAGCTGCTGAAATGCTCTAATAAAGTCAGTGACATTTCAATATGATGCAAATACTTCAATATGCTTCCTGCTACTATTAATTTATATTAAAAAAATTTCTCATAAAAACATATTTTGACTATGCTGAAATCGTTTTACTTTTAAACACTAGTTTTGCCTATACTTTGGGAAAGCTGCAAACGCTTTCCTTCTGTCAGAGTGAGAATTGAKGATTGCCATTTTAGTCTTCATTGCACGACACTGATTTAAATGTAAATGGAATTTTCCACCACCTTTTAGAGAATAAGTTTCTGGTTCCAAGCCACAGTCTGCAATTGCTTCTGAAATCTGGCTCTACTGCTCTACCACAGTAAATTTAAGAGGTTCAAAAGCTAGGCTGTATCTTGCTTTTTAACATCCGTATGTCAATGACTTTCCTGTTCAGGTGAACTTGAGATTACTAACTTGACTAACACCTTAAATATGATATGTTTTACCATAAGAAATTGTCTATTATTCCTTCAAACACACAAATATTCAGATGAGGCTTTTCCGTAAACACAACTAATTGCAATGTAAATATAACAAACAACATGAATAAAATTATCCTTCAGATACAATTTGGAAGGGATTTTGCAAGTTTGTTTTAGATGCAAAAGAATATGAGAGAAGTGAATTTCTACATTTTAAAAACTAGTTTAGCAGTTAGTTTAAAAGCAGTAGAAATAKAACAGAAATATTTAACTAAAATGCTATTTAAAAATATATATACAAATGCGGCAAGCAAACTTGCTTGCAATTGTACATCTCTATGGGCTGCAAGAGATACCATAAAAACTCAAGGTATAAATTAGGAAATCCTCACAAAACTAGTTAATCCCTGCAGCAAGTAGTGTTTGCTTTGAGCCCCTCACAGGTCATTTCAATGGAACATTACCAAGCATAACAAGATTTCACAGATTATCTGTGCAAAATTAAACGACTGAGGCTCTTTTAAAATCTGTTAAAATCAGCTTTCTTGTCTTAATTTATGCATCATCAGATGGCACGTAACAGAGYCAAAAATAAAATGAGTGAAAGCAATGAATACTTCCTTAACCAAAGTGCCTGTTTTGATATGGTATGGAAACCAAGCCGAAAAACCTCAAGCTACCAGACATGAAATATCCCAGTGCATTAACTGCATTGTGCTTCAGTGGCTCTGGTCTCCTGGAAGAATGTAAATGCTCCTTGAGAGAAATGACAGGGCACGTATGGAAAGCAGGCATGTTAGTACCAAGCAGGGGGAGGCAGAAGGCTCTCCTTTCAAGTACAAAACACACGTATGCACGGCATGCAACACTCAACCTACCTCTTCCATACCCTACATACTCACGGCCATAGCAAAGCACAAGRCATGCGGACAAAGCAGGGGGAAAAGAAAAAGACACCGAGACCATATAAAAAGCTGCCATGAAGACATCACCAGGCCACAGAGACACGCTGACCACAGAGGCAGAGCTTTGGAATCGCCCACACTGCCAAGCAGGCGCAGCGAGCRCGGGCGCACGCCTTCGGGCGGAGAGCAGGTGGAGAGGAAAGCAAAAGGAGCTGTGGGGCCAGTGCAAACTGGGGTAGAGGTGCTTTAGGGGTTCATTGGCATCTCTGTGCTGACAGTGTTTGAGCTCCTCTGCCAGATGTGGAGGGGCAGTAGCCACAATAGTGGCCATTCCTCTACAGTTGGAGCCTTCCACGGACACCAGAGAAAATCCCATTACTTCAGCATCATTCCCTGCTATGTTCAAGTCTTTCTTACTGAGAGGGGATGTGAATGCACCTCGATGTCCTAAAAACCAAGTAGTCCTTGACGATCATCGGGGCCAACTTTCCCAAAGCAAATATCTAAATATTGAGTAGGTAAAGAGGTGAAGTCAATACTGTCAAACAGACCAATTCCATATGACTACAAATATCTGAAACATCTTCACTGCAGTGTATTGTATTTAGGCACATATCGTGGAGATGATGGCCAGGAATGATTTATTGCACACTCACTGCAAGCAAGACACTATTCCTTTACATAATCAGAAATCCAAATGAAAGTAATCATTAGTCTTCACAGATTATCAAGCAACAAATAGGTAATTAAAATAATGGCAGTGTAATAGAGGAGGCTGAATCAACCACAAAGGGTGTTGAATGCAGCATCTTCTACTTTTGYACCATATTTTAAAAAGCCTTATACTTGGCTTTGCTTTACTGTCAAACTCTGTGCTCCATCTCTGGTTTCTGAARCACCTAAATACTTGGAATTATAACTTTGCAGATTAATATCTAAAAACTGCACCTTTCAAGAACAAGTCTTGCACAGTGCCAATTGTATAAGTGACCACATTTTACTACATGATTTCAAAAATCTGATAAACAAGCACAAAACCCTATCCATATAAATTGATGCATTTTTTTTTCTCTCCTGAATGATTGCAAAATGACCCTTGAATGAAGAGTGAAGTATTGCTGTGGCATTTCAAWAACATAATTTCCTACATGATGTATGTAGATAATGTAGGAGACAAAAAAACAGTTCTCTCCCTCCTACCTCCTACTCCAGACATTTTTTAGTCTGACAGCACAGAAAACAGTCCACATAAAATGCATAACTATCTGAAAACCAAAAGCAGGATTTCAAATACATAAAATAGATACAAAAAAGTACTCTATTGTATATTATTTTGGAGTTACCATTGAGAATTTAGTCCAAGATTCAAAATGAGTTCCCTTTTTGAGGAGGCAATGCTAACATTTTTGCAGCTACTTTCATCTCCACTTATAGCAGCTACATCTAATGTGTCACTTAAAGARCAAAAAACAAGAAAGAAAGAATTCCTCAAGTAAATGTCCTAGCTATGAATCTTGGTGTTCCTGGTCTCTTGCTAGAGAAAACAAAAAAGAACAAGGAAGCAACAAACTCCAATCCATTCCCAAGATGGGACATCATCATATTCAGGGAATAGAAACACTCACCCTGGTTTTGGCATCGATCTGCCCTCCGCGATCCAACAAGAGCTTCACCATGTTTGTGTTTCCCCTTTTGGAAGCCACATGCAGTGGGGTGATTCCATTCTACACCATGGAAAGAACAAACAATGAGCGTGATGGGCTTGAAGGTGTATGATGGCAGCAACTTCATGTTTGGATCACAAAAAATGATATCGTCACTACATCATAGAGAATAAACAGAAACATACTTAAGCATCAGAGCTAGGCACACACTATTTAAACTACAGTTAGTAATTCCTTCTTAAGCAAGAATMATTATTCATTGTTTAATAACAAGGCAGCACATTAACCAGAGCAGCAAACATCAGTCCAAGAGTCAGACAAAGAGATGAACATGTATCAAAGTCCCAGTACATCAATATTCACAACACATGGACTCATTTAAACCATTACCACACATACAGCACGCAAACACAAGACGTCTGCACAAAGCAGTCTCATTAGTGTGCTGCAAGTAGTGTAAAGGCCTAGGTGCTCCTTAGGTGGAAAATTCCTGCCAATGCCTTGGGCGAGGGAAAGAAGTGGTGTTAGCAACTCTTCTGGATCAGCAAAAAGGAGAAAACCAGTCTGAAAGGCAGAAGGCTGCAATAATTTGAAGTGTGCCTGGCAATGCAAAACTATACAGAAAATGATCCAGTAGATATGGTAATAAASAGATTACCAGAGGCTTTCAGAATGTTAGATGACACGCTTTCAACTATGCTGCATACCACCTCAATAGACTCTCTTAGGCTATTTATACCATTTACCATAGTTATGATTAATTTGTCCTCACATTGTTGTGTCTATATAATGGCAGCGTACTCTAATTTTTTCAAAATAGGTCTGTATGTGAAAAAAAATCCAAGTCATACAGTAAATACTGAACCATTAAAGATAAGGTAGGAAAAAAAATTGTTAATTCATAGACTTCTATTTATTTTGTAGACTTGTAGAATATGTCTAAGTGTGACAGTGAAGCTAAAATGCACCAGCACGTGATGAGAACTGAGCTCTGGAACTATTCAAAGTCACTTGCTTCTTTCAAACAGGGATAATGGTTGCCACTGCGCTCCAAAGAACTCAGCTGCAYTGCACCGAGCCAACAGCCACAGAGCCCTGCACAGAGGCAACCTTTAAGAACTCACACATGCACACAAAAATCTATACATAAATCTCTGGACATAATGGAATTTCAGCACTACTTGMTTTCTCACTTACTCTTGACTTGTATTAAAGTGGGAGCCTATCTTTTGTTTCATAGACCATCGCAAGTGAAAAAAAAGACAAAAAGATTCCCCATACCCTGGCYGTGAAATCAACTGCAGCTCCTCGGTTTAGCAGCAGCGTTGCCACATTGACGTTCCCATAGTGTGCAGCTATGTGCAAAGGTGTGAAGCCACTCTACAAAAGCAAACAGTTCATATTACACAAATCACCTATGCAATATACTCTACTCAACTAGAACCTTATTTCAGAAGCTTCTGGCAAACAAATGTATTGTACTGGTTTTATCCACTTCACTTGTAAACTGGATAAGTCACAGGCTTTCAGGCAGACAGAGGGTGCAATTTTCTTACTATAAATTATCCAAGGCATTTCTTCCTCTGGCTTTGCAATTCAGCATTTCAACCTCCAGTAAATGACTTGCTTTCATCTTAGAAAACAGTAATAGCCATTTTTAGAGAAAATAAAGGAAGTCCCTTCATTATAGTTCAGGAGCAACAAAGGACTTTTGGGTGCATCTGTTTACAGCAGCAAAAGACTACAAAAGCTATCGGGTTCTTATTTTACTGAGCTTCCCTCAGAATTACAACCTTGGACACTTGAGAGTAGATGGCAAGTAAGTGAGATTTATACACAACTTGGATCTCAAAGCATCTGAAGGAAAAAAAATCCTTTGCCATCTAGATGTAAGAAAAAACAATTTACTCATGGCTGCTTGGACACTTGAAGGTAAAACCCACTTTGGCACAAGATACAGCAGGCTTAACAGCAAGATAAAAAAGATTAACTTTTCAGAAACTAGGACACAGAACCAATGTTTATTCTTGTAACTATATCAGGTAGAAAGCACCTTGGTTTGGAGGTTTTTGTGAAGAGCTTTACTCTGATTTAATTATCCCTTACAACTTTACTTTTAGTTATGGGAAAGATGAATACTCCTGCCTTCYAGCACATACCATATCGTGAGCAAGGTTTCATTGGCTATTAAGCATGAGCATTTTAAACTGCTCATGGAATAAAGAAATGTAGACAGATATTGCACTCCGAAAGCAACTTTATTCCCGAGGTRCAGCAATTATTCTAACCTAATTTCATTTACTTCCATGTCAGTCCCCGCAAAATCTGGGTGAAGGCAGAATCAAACACTCCTGCCCTTGCCTGCTGTGGTAAATAGCCAGGAAAAGGTCTGGCGAGGTTATAGCCACATAAATACTATACTGTGGCAAACTGGAGTGAATTTATATTGCATTAACAGCTAACATTTCACGGACACATATTTAATTGCGACAAACCCAAGGTACTGGGAGGTAATTTACTGCCGAGTGAAGGAGAAGCMAACTGCCTCACGTGTACAGCGAGCAAAGAACAGGCACACGGGGTGATGCCAGGGAGCAGCCCTCTCCCTTCCACGTCACCCCCAGCCATGACCAAACACTGAGCACGGGACACACCAGCACGTGTCAGCAAAGCTGAAAGGAAGGACTGCATTCCTGGAATTATCCTCTCACTCCCAGAAAATCTCATTATAGGCTGTCCCTTAAGGGCTACTGAAAACTTCATTGAAAACACTGCATCAAGAACAGTAAAAATAAACAGATGCTCTGAGCAAGTTTTTACCTTGACAAAATTGATTTTAATTTTTTACTGTAATACAAGGAAAATGAATTTTACCCTAATTCTGGCTAAGCCAGACACCTTCATTTAGTTAGGACAAGTGAGTGCGTTTTCATAACTAATTTAACTGAATAAGAATTCTCTGTTCCCTTAACTCCATTATTTCCTTTAGACTTCTTTGAACTGAATGCCTATTCTTAAAGTTTAGTTCCATAAAGTGGCACTCACAAACAAAAAGAAATTATAAACCAAGAGATGAATAAAAAGATGTTTTGATGAGGCACAAATTGCGATGTAAGTAAAAAGTTTACTTTTAATGCTAAATAATAAAGAAATATTGCCACAGAAAAGAGAAAGTAACTATAAAAAACAGAAAGAGTAATTAAAAATTTTTGGTCTCGGTACCTCAGTCGTCCTATTCACCATCATCTGATGCAGCATGTTTTGGGAAAAAGAGGAAAGACATTACAGACTGACCATAAAACGAACTAAATTGCTTGTTGCAATGAGTTATGCTGTTATTACAGGAAAAGCCATTTGAGCATGCAGTAACATTAAATATAAGCTACATTCCCATGGGCAATAAACCAGTATCTTATTTTAGGGAACCAGTGACTCTGCCTTTTTTTCTCCCTCTAGTTGATAAATAATGAGAGAAAGTTGGTTACCAAAGAAATGCGAGGTATAAAMAATATATATATATATATATATATATATATATATAGTTTCAAACTATTACCTAGCTAAACACTGCAGAGATCTATCTATTGTTGGTGATACTGGTCTGGCAACTTATTTTTCCCCACAGAAGAAATTCCCTTTAACTGCTATTTTAAGCTGAAGGAAGCAGAGTTTGCTGCCCAGCGGCACTCGGCCACGTGGCTACCATTACCTTGAAGCCAGTGCCACGTTACCTTGGAATGTACATCAGCGTTGTGGTCGTTCTGAAGAAGCAGGGCTGCTGATTTGGTGTCATCTTTTCTGGCGGCAATGTGCAGAGCTGGCAGCCTCACTTTGCCCTTGGTGTCGTTTTCCAGCAGGATGGCCACTGCCTGGTTGTGTCCTTGCTGCAGCGCAACAGCTAACGGGGTGAAGCCGTCCTGGGGGAGAGGAAAGCACAAGGTCCTCAGTAGGCTGGAGAATAGATAGCTTCGTTGCTATCTCTGCTCTCCAAGGAGCTTGATAACACCTGCTAATACTTTACCAGCTGTTTTCTTCCTCTGCACCACCGAGGAAGACCATTGGTGTCATTTCTCCAATGAAATGACACAGGTACAAAGTTTTGTCCTCCCAAACACAACTTCAGACACCTCAGGGCACTCTTTTTCCCTTCAAAGTCACTCCTCTGTGTCAAGAACGGGCAAAGGGTTGTTCTAGACTAGCTTTATCAATTACTTCTCATAACAAACCACAAATGACATTTTAAGCAACATTGCAGCAATGACTGGTGAGTATTGCATAAGGTAATTCTAAGAAATACAGAGGGTTCTTGTTACTGAATATCTTTGCATCTCTGGGAGAACAAAGCACGCCTTCGAGATGCTTTTACCACTCTTACCCTTTCCGAATTAGGCATGGACGGGGCCTCAAGAAAGACAAGTGATCTTAAGTAATTTATCTTAAGTGGCAAAGCATTACAATGTTTGGAAAATACAAATCAGAAAAAAAAWCTATTTTTCATTCATAATATGAGCTTCATTTTAAAAATTCTTGCTCCTTCATGGGTGCCCTGGATTTCTAATGCATCAGTGTGCCACATGACAACCGCTTGCTATCTCAAGTGTAGTGCTACCTACTCACATGTCTGTTACCCTGACTATAAACTAAACCCATCTCAAGTACTGTGGAGATGCCTGCAATTGCATCTGAGTTTAGCAGGCAGATAAAGTATGAAAAACAAAGATCTCAAGTCTGTGAAAAGAAGGYCCGGTTAATAAAAGCAAAATAAAAAGGTAAGGGAATAAAACAAGGCTTTCTGGATCTACCTCAGAAGAAACAACTAGAGATGCCTATAGCCGGAAAATGAGCAGGCTGACTTGGATGCCATGTAAGAGACATAGGAAATATAAGACATTGATGTAGAATAGAAAAATGGAAAAWAAAACAAAATAGCAAAAGACAAATTAGGAAGMAATGAAAGCCAACATATGTYGAGACAAACATTTAAAGAATTGCCCAGTCCTGYCAAAGCAATCTTTCTTCTTAGTAATCTAATAACACTAGCTGCCTTTGTGGGGAGATGTGCTGTAATAGCTATACTACCATAGTTTCTTTCTGTAATAGAGATTAAGTTCTATACAGTGAATTAAAGAGGGGTGAACAGCTGATGAACAGCTGAACTGTAAAGATAATTCTCAGATTGAGGCTACATTAGGTGCTGAAATAGCTTAATGCACTCTCCTTTGCCTCTAGAAACATGAGAGCAAATCCTGGATTAGAGGACATGTGAAACTGACCTCAACCTTATTCTCATTTTATACATACATGTATATCAGTACAAGAGTATACATTAAATATATCCAAAGGCAGTGCTAGCTTMATATCTTCAAAACCAAGAAGTAGTTTTTGATCTGCACCACTTGATCTTCCTTCCCYCTCGACAAGGAGCCAACCCTTGCTGCATTCCCTCTCCCATTACATGGGGAGGGCAAGGCTAGCAGGAGAAGGCATTTCATTTCCCACATCCCTGCAGTGAGTACAGTCGGTATTTGATRCCAGACAAAATGTCCTTCTCCATTTATTTCAATGGGATCTTCARTTCAGCCTGCCATCGTGTCTTACCTAACACACTAATTTTTCACTCCCTTCATCAGACTAAATCTGAATACATATGAAAGCAGACAGCTGTTCAGTCCATCCGTCCTTCAACAGTACTCAAATCATTGAAAMCATTACCTGAGCAATATCTGAACTCATACCTTACTTAGACTAGAAATAATGGTGTAGGAAAGCTTTAACTTGCAGGTGATGAAAATAAGCCCTGACCTTTCTGATAGCAGAAGGTGAATCTGGACTCGGATTTAGAGCAGGAGACAACRGGCTTCTCTTCTTCCCTCACTCCCCCAGCCCAATTTTCCCTAACCAGAATATAYTGCGAGTTCCAGGGCTGTCTGGATGTTTGTATTCAGGAGAGGCCACATTAGTTATAACTGTATCAGCTTCACAGTGCCTGTAAAGTAATGAGCGAATTCCCAGCGCACCTGATCACAGCCAATAAAAGTTCAGCAAATGACTACAAGCAGGTGACTGAGGGCTGAAGCTGGGCTTCAGTTTGGGGGATCCAAACTTGCACTGTAACCAGTTCACCAGGATGTGTTCCTGCCAAGTTGCCTGGCAATTGCACAGGATTACATGCTTCACAAAGCTGCAATAGTAACATGATCTCCATCTATGCAGGCCACAGGAGGATTATTTTAAGAGCTGTCATCAAATGGTACAGGATCCATTGAAAGAAGGGATAGCAAAGCAGCTGTTAAYACTAAGACCTCAGTTTAAGGAAAACAAAAGCAAAAATAAATGAACCACCATTTCAGATTCATCTGTTCACAAAAATAATCCAAGATGAGCAAGTCTCCACTGAGAAAAGGTAAAGAGTATTGTTTAATATTGCCTGGCCACAGTGCACACAAGCCAGCACTTTGCAGCACAGATCCACTCCCCCATTCCCTAGAATAAGAACATTTGGCAGAAGCAGGACAAAAGGAAAATGAATAAGCACAGACTATTATCTGTGAGCTATCCCCCACAGCCTCATTTTCAAAAGGAAGTCCTCACGATTCAGTTTCTCTCTTGAGAGAGTCTGGTCACTGCTCTGTTGGCATCTGTGCTGCCATAAATACAATTCAGACAGGAACTGGTGAAAATTCTCAACACATACAGTTTGAAAATCTTCTGACTTTAAGTGACCCTTAAAAACAGTCCCCTCCCAAAATAAAATACTTCACCTCAGTAGCAGTGCTTTGGTTGGCTCCATTTTCCAGGAGATATTTCACCACTTCAATATGATTCTCTTGAGCTGCCATATATAAAGGAGTGAAGCCATTCTGRCAAATACACAAAGAAAAAGTGTAATGAGCAAACAGAATACACTAACATTAGCTAATTCAAAAAAAAAAAGCCAAAATACATTTATGTCTTTAAAAAAAAGGAAACAATAAAGTAGATAAGTATAACAAATTAACATTTCCCAAGTTGGTGTGGTAATGTTCAATATCTTTCCAACTCACAAAACTATATCTGCTTTCACACTCATTCTCTTCTAACATGCATTTTAGAGTGACAATATTAGAGTGACAATATTAATATAGTTATTTCTCTCTGATAGGTAACAGCTCAGGGAATGTAAAGTTCAYAGTAAAGTTTGATGAAAGCTGACAGGAGAGCGAAAGCTTTTTCCATTTATTCCATTTACTTAACCAAAGACATGATTCCTTGAAGACCACAAAGTGCATGCCTCAAGATACATTGAATAGATAAGACACTGATTTAACATACTACATAAAATTCTGTAATACATAATTCATTGCAAGTCATCGCACATAAAGAAATCAATCTTGCAAAACAACGACTACATTTCTGACCACACAGTAGATTTTAGTCCAACATTTAACTATAAACATTATAAAGAACRTCCAAGAATCTTCAAAATAATCTCCCCTGGATAACAGTAATTAAAAAAAAATGCCTTCAGCTTAATCAAACTACAAGAAAATTATTAGAAACATAACCCCTTCTGCCTTCTAAAATAATTTAAATGCAAACAATAGGTCTAAAATCCTTGTGAATGAAAGCCATGAAAGTGAGCTCTCTATGATTAATAGCTTTCTTCTGAACATTTTTAGGATTGTTGAAAAGGCCCTAGACACTTCTTAATTGCCTCTGTAAATTACAGTGTAATGTAAAATGACGTAATCATCCAAATTTCTGGAAAAAGCTTCTRTCCTTGAACAGCACTCTTAGCTACAGCATAAACCATAAACCATCTTCTGTGATRCATTTCATGTTGTCTGATAGCACAAGTTTGTGCATTTACAGCACCAACTTGAATCAATGAAAATCCTGTGATGTGTAAAGCTGTGTTTCACAGACGCCAACATTATTCTTTGTAGCAAAATGGCCATGGAAGTTTTCAATAATTTCCTAATGAAAAACTAAGTTTTCAATCACTATTTAATACATCTAAGTATTTTTTACAATGAAACTGATGTCTTCACAATTCCCCCTTGCACTTGCAAATGTAGATTGCAACTAATAGATATCATATGTTGGTTTTAGCAAGGTTTTTAGTGCTGTGWTGCATAATGTTTTAGCATTTTCATGAACTATCCTGGGGGCATACAATTAAAAAAAATAAGTCATCAGAATAGTCATCAGTGGTTGCCCAAATGATTGGATGTATTTTGAGCAGATGTATTTTGAACAGAACTGCACAAGGCATAATATCTCTGTCAGGTATTATTCAATATTCTCAGCAATGACTTGGATGGTGGAACTCAGTGCTCTTATTAATCTTACAGGCAGCACGAACAAGGGTGGTTGCAAGCATACTGCAAAATAGGATCATAACGTGAAAGGCTCCTATTACCGTGGAGAAATGGGCCACAAATGTAATTCAGTAAGGACAAATGCCACTTTCTAGACTTTGTCAGGAATTACAAACTGTACGAATAAGGAATAAGTGGTTAGAGAACAAGGTCACAATGGCCTCCTGGAGGGCCACTGGCTAGTGAGGTCATTCTGTTGCAATAAAAACAACCGTTGCACAAGGATCTAAAAATAAAATATAACCCCACTTCTTTGAGAAAACGTTGTAATTATCCATGTTGCTTGGCCTAGAGGAAAGAAAATAGAAGACAAACAAGAAAACAATCTTCAAACATCTAGTAAGTGTCTCCAGAGAGGAAGAGAATGATCAATTCTACATGTTCATGATGACTCAGAAAAATAGCAATGGGCATAGGTGCTAGCACAGGAAATTTCAGTTAGGTACCAAGAAAAGCCTCTTAACAGTTAGGTAGGCCTGCATCACATTTTGATGGGCAACTCCCTTGTCTCCGCATCACCTCCAAACCAATGCAACAAGCTTGAAGGACACACTAGGCAAACCACTCAGCCCCTTGCATGGTGCCTTTGGGGCTGGGAGGCCAGCAAAGGTGGGTGTAGGCGGCTCTTAGAGCTGCTCCCTAACCGGGACAATAGATAAGAGATTTCATCCTAATATAAATTGAAAGAAAGGTTATAATTAGGAAGGTACAGAAGGAAAGAGGATGGGCTATCTGAAGGAGTGAGCTGACAGCAGAAATTGCAAACTTAAGTTTGTTTTCCACTGCATTTAGAACAGCATAGAAAAAAATACAGGTAACAGAGCTGACTCATTATTTCAGCTATATTCCCCATCCTGAAAAGAAATGCAGTGGCAATGTATTAGGTATAACTACCAATAATTTTCCACATCCTTGACTGATATTTTAATATTGAAATCTAGCAGAATCTTTTTCAATGGTGATTGTGCACCATTTGTAATGTATTCCAGTATTCAATATTATATGTTTGAAAACTAGTATCATGCATGCTAACAGAAATGGGTGAAACATGAGAATTTTCAAGACAAAATAAATCAATGTACTCCAAAGCCCAGAATCTTTAAAAATCAACTCAAAAATTTTCTAGTTCTGTAATAAAACCAGGACAATAAATCCTGGATTAGGAGACCATAATATGCATATATTTATGCATATTTAGTACCAAGATGTACTAAATGTATTTCCATGCAATCCTGAGATTGATCCATCAAGTTTCCATCACGTCAAGGAAACCCCGTTGGTGTGACATGATTATTAGCTGAAATTATAGCAATTGCAGGTGGGGTAATTCTTGCATATAAGATTCTAGCCTTTTTTTTCTCTCTCCTTCAAACTTTGTTTAYGGTTTTAAGCTATTGTAACTACTTTCCTAAGAGCCAGCATATTTTAGAAATTGCAATGGCATGCTGATTTCTGTAAGAAGAAATGCCTAAGCCCAAAATATTAGAAAGCTGCCCCTAAGTCTCTCCTCTGGCAAGGTCAAGCTTGAATTTTCCCCGGCAGGGTGAGGTTCTCTTTCTCAGCGAGTAGCTGGTTTCAGAAATTCTAATTGAGCTCAGCACTTCTGGCTCTTGGCCACAGACTCCTATTTCAGGATTCTCAATTTTACAGCTCTCTCCTTGGCAGAGTGCTGCACAGTGGGATTACCTGGTGACCCTGCAGGAGCTCTTCCTTCGCAATTGTCTCCTAAATGCCAGGATATTCCTGCCTCCTCCCATTCTGCACAGAGTTTCTCTGTCAAGCCACATATGTCTCACTTGTAAAGAACTTTCTTTCTGCCTCAATTCCATAGCTTAAGAGAAATGCCCACAGCAAAAGTATATTCCTCCCTTCCTTTCTTTTACTTCTTGATTCTGAGGTCTACTACCTAATTCCTCATCTTTAAGTTTCAGGGAACTATACCAATCTCTTTTTGCTCTGTTGTTGTTGTACAGATACTTCAGAGGAGCTCTAGATCTTTGATCTCTACAGATTGAAGAAAGTGTATTTTCCAACGTCTTTAGTTTCACTAGCCCAAGGTGTTTTCTACAAAATTCAAGATATTCTGGTTAATGATTCTCCACAGACACACCAAGACTGAGCTCTCTCTTCCTTCTTGCAGTACATTAATCGGGATAGAGCAGGTTTACTGAGCCTTGGGGGGAACTTCATTTCAGTAATTTTGCTCCAGATTATGACCCTCATATTTTATAAACAAAGTTCAGATTTAGACCAAAAATACCAACTATGGYACACAAAGGTGATCTGGAAGGTGAGAAATGCACTTTATTTTGCTCTTTTTGAAAGCCTGGCTCTGCTCTTCTGTTGCGTCTGCACATTTAGATTCTGTGCATTGTCTGTAAAAATAGAAATTAATTTTGTAATGATATATGGCATACACTTTCAGACAATGATTTCATCAGAGTGCTTGTACTGAGGACAGAGCACTCAGATTTCATTATGCTCACAAATATATACTGCAAGATATTTACTGCTATAATACAAAGATATTATGAGGAATTAGCACTAAATAGTGCATTTCATACTCCATTTTTTCTATTACATTCACTGATTTACTTGCTAATTTGAGAAAATTAGGAGCTCTCAATGCTTCTTCAAGCTATCAATGCAAATTGGCAAGCCTTTATATGACTCAATGTGTATCATTACATCTTGCCCAAGCGGTAATGAAGAACACAATTTTAAAAAGCWGAGGGATTATTAGAGCACTTAGAAAACCAAACAAACTATTACATAGCTTGTTTTAACCTTATTTTACAGCAGGCTCTCAAGGAACTATAAGCACACAGTACTAGTGATCAGAACCACACATCCTCTGAACACAAAGCGATTAGTGCCCGATGCACTAGAGAGMCTGGCCTGCCCACACCTGCAGTGAAGGCATAGCCTTTAATATCTATATGTCTGCACCCATATATAGTTTCAGACAGGGAATCAGAGAAAACAAATCTATCATCTCTTCCTTGACTAGGCCTCCTTTCAGAGGACGCATCAGGGTTACCTAATTCTCCTGTAATTAAAAAAAACCTCAAATTGCAAATCCAAATGAATCATATCTATTTTACTTTAAAAGCGTCCAGAAATGGTTTAAGACTGTATTAGAAGATCATTGAGATTACCAAGGACAACGAGGCAGCTGATATCTGATGCAATTGTTGACACACAGCAAACACTTGTAATTACTCTTCAGGATGTAATTACCAACCCGAGGGTCAACACAGTTAGCAGACTGCCCAGACCAGGACAATTTTCTCCAATACGTCTCCATTTCATTGCATGGGTTTAGGGGGTTGAGACTTGAGACTTTTATGGGCCTCTTTTCCCCAGTTTTGCTTGATATATAAGATAACAAAATCTATTTAGTCAATGTTACGCTGAAGACCAAAGCAGTTAGGCTTTTYCAGCAGAAACAGCTTTATCACACTTCCCTAGCTGTATTTCTCAAGCAACACTCAGAGAAC